TAGTGTTGCTACTGGTAAACTGCATATTTGCATAGACTGGCATAACAACAGCAACAGTTTAGATACTCATTATGATAATTATTAGCTCTGTTTTTCCACATTGCACCTTTGTACTTTATCATACTCTTTTTTTGTATTCTGTACTCTCATGACATAAACATAAACACCACCAATTTGCACCTTATTGTAAAAATGAAACATTTTTTTCTATTTCAGGCACCTTATTAGACATTGTACATTGTTCCTCTATCTATCTATCTATCTATCTATCTATCTATCTATCTATCTATCTATCTATCTATCTATCTAAACTAAGCCCTGGTCTCTACACTCTACCTTCTGGTGCATCCATGTGAGTCAGATGTCAGGTTAGTGCCAGTAAGGGGAAGTGAGAAGGTTTTGCCATAAATAGAAAGCAGACAGATTCCACGGTAGCGATCCCAGCTCTCCCGTATCCTGTCGAAAAAGCCCAGGGAGAGGCCCCTTGAACCAGACGAGGGCCATGGGACTCTGGGTTTTCACCCATGACTCACGCACGCGAATCACATGGATGCACATCGGACGACTCATCGCAGATTCAAATGTACACCCTCACATTGTGTGCAAATAGTAATGTGTAACACACTCATGCGTGTTATTTACAGGTACGCAAGCAGAACGATCGCGACGCGCCCATGAAATATGGACGTGAATATTCATGATTTGTACGTTAGCGACGGCTGCGCTCTAATTCAGGAGTTCAGTGACTGAGGAGGGAAACAGGACTTCCGCTGAAGCTCCATCTGGGATTTCTTTGTGTTTCGTTGGCCGGCCTTTTATAAAACCACACACACGAAAACACACATACGCTGTGTTTATTTGAAAATGCTATCTCCGTCACTGTGTCAACTCGAGCTACTGTATTACATCAGACTGGTTAACCACATTGTTCAGTGGAGTACAACATGAAGCGTCGGGTCTGTCCCTCTGACTGTACAGTAACTACATTTCAGATCCTCACTGGTGAGCCTCTCCCCGCATGGCTGACTTTCAGTTACGCTCGCCAATCAAACCACATCTCTTCTCTCTCCTCCACCTCTCTGCTCTTCTCATGACCTCTTTTCTTTTTTTCATTTTGTTTTCTTGCCTCTCTTCAGCATCTCTGGTGGTCTGACATTATCACCGCGGTGGTCTGACACCCGTGTGGTCCTCCAGGTCAACGAGGGGGAGCGCAGGCATCAACTGGGTCACACAGAAAGAGAAAGAAAGATGGGTTTTCACCTGGCATGAGTAACTTTCTTGGCTATGAAGAAGAGTAATGTTATGAGGGGCCCTCAGCCATTGAAAACAAAGATAAAAGCTCCCGTAGTGGTGGTGGTGGTAATTGAGCTGGAGTGCCGGTGGGGTGAAAAAATAAACTTGGAGACACGTGAGAACTTAATTTTAAAATCAATGAAGCGCTCGTGTCAAACTCTCACCTCTGATTCAGAGAGTCGATCGCAGAACAGCAGCAGGTGTGATGCCAGAAAATCGGAATGAGCTCAAGAATTGCTCACCTTTTGTCAGCATCCTCCCGAATCTCCTACGTCAGCGAACGATGACGGCTTCCGAACCTTTTCAAGTCCGATTTGGATTTATAAAGCCGGCATCACTCCCTGCGTCGACAAGTCTAATGACAAGAACACAGAAAAGGACAGAACAGAAGATGAGACAGCACATGTTTGCCCTGCATATATAAAAAAAAAAATCCAACATCAGTATCATCACATTTAGTGAAATTAACGAACATAAACACACGTCATGCATAAATCATCGATTACACTTCATCTCTGTACACGTGAGTGCACTCATCTTTTATCTAAAATACAAACACACCCTTTCACTTCTGACCTATTTGTCATCATTTATGATTTATATCAGCAATGAAAATAATATTATCCAACAAAGCAGACGTTGTATTTTATTATATATCTTAAAATATACAAATAGCTGGATTACACCCATAACTTTTCTGACAATCACTGTTGTAACAGACTGTTTCGTTGGTTAGATTGCAGGCACAAGATAATCTGCTTAACTTTTTAGTTACAGGCCCTAAACATTGAGTATCATGAAAGAAAGTCAAATGATTTTATCAGAATATTAGCAGGCTGAATCACCGGATGCAGACTGTGAGTATCAGCTGTTTGTGTGTCTTTGCAACTCCTTTCAATACAGGAAACAGCAACGACATCCTCTGAGCAGTAAGCTACACTCTGAACGTCTTCTGCTGAGGATTTGGATTTTCAATAAGACAGGCCTCTTTAGTTGCTTATGTGAATTTTAATTAGGGAGCTCCTACGTGCAAATGTTTCACCAGCTATTTCCCGTCAACGTTTTGCAGGGGCACCAGTGCTGTATCCCGGGCTTTGCGCTGACCGATTGTGATTGGTTTAAAGAGACAGAACCAAGCCAGAACATAGACTCATCCACCACCAGCACCTCCACCAGAGCACTGACACATGCCGGCAGTGCAAACATGAAAAAATACTCAAACCAAAAGAGACCGAGCAGGTCTGTTAAACCCATTGAGGGACCACATCCTACTCTCACTGCTGAACTTGTTGCTGTTTATCTTAGTCTCCCATCATGCACTGCATTTTCTTTTCATCTCAGACTACTTGACTTACAATATGCTGAAAGGTTAACGTGGATTTTTTTTTTTTGCCCCACTGACAGCAAAAAAAAAAATACTGTCAATCCAAAGCTTTAATTTTATTTGAGCAAAACTTGCATTTTTAATCTAAATAGTCAGATTCTTTGCTAAAGGCTAATTGTGGTCAATTGCATTGTGTTTGCAAATGTGCATCTGAGAGGACTTAAAGCTGCAATAATGAGAAAGAGGCTGTTTTGTCTATATGAGTTATTCAGTCACTTTTATCTATTTTAAATGAAATCAAATTAAACACTGCGTGCAACTTAAGCACATATACAAGCAAGTATCCAGTTTAATGGTAAATTTTAAAGAGCTTTTCAACAACATAGCACAATCTTTTTAATCCTAGTTTTTATTTCCATATAAAGCTTGTGATATAGAGTCGGACTGGTTGCAGCTACATGTCCTCCTCACAGTACAAACATAGATTAAGGAAAATGCTAGAGGTGACAGGCTGGTCGCTACAAGTTTCGAATCCATGCGGGTGGATTTGCATACTGTTCTGGCATGAAGTGAAACCAGCAGCTCTCTGCAAACGGAAAAACCAACACTTGTAGGCAGCGGGCCAGAGCACGAAGAAGCACTCAAATCGGAATCAACCAGTTAATAACCTTATTTGTACAAAAAAAAAGAAAAGCAGCAGCTTCCCCGACACCCAAAGCACGGCGAAATCTGGCACAGATGTAAACCCGATTAGGGAAAAGATCAAGCCGAACAGCAACGATGCCAGGTTGTTGCATGCACATGTGTTCATTTGAATCTTTTGGAATTTTTATGGTTTTGAGCGTCGGAGCCAGACTTGTGTAAACTATTGATTATGAAATATACACGCCCAGTCACCTGCATTCCAGTTTGTAGAAGTAGTTATGAAAGAGATCTGAGGAGAAGTGTTATGCAAAGATACCATCTGTATGCTCCATTTAGTCTCCACACACACACACACACACACATATATATATGTATATTTTTAGTGGCTCGCAAAATACACACAGCAGCAATGGGTTTTCACAATGAGGAAATACAAGAACTGTCAGATTTTTTTCATAATAAATTCAAAAAATGGCAAAGCTACTCAAAAGCAGACCAGAAAAAAAAAGGAATAAAATGTCAGAAGCTAAAATAAAGTCGATCTAAAAAGCTCCTTTTGCACGTCAGCTCCTCAAATCGTGATTCAGCCTCAGATTATGGGGTAAAAATCCAGCTTTATCTTGTACCGAACAGTGAAACCAAATAAGCCGAAGATTACTGAAAGTCTTTAAGTTCCTGTCTGGTTGTGGGTTTAACCCTTAAACACTCATGTCTATGTAGCACATATTCTCCATGACAACAATCCCTACCTGCCTTAAAATGGCTTAGATATAACAGTAGTCCCTCCCCGCTCGCTGCAGCTCGAGCAAACCAGCTCACCTACGACCCCATTGGAACACTAAAACTAATTTATACTTTTGTAATATTAGTTGTAATATTTGAGTACTTCAGCTGTTCGAACTGAAAAGCCGCTCAGAAGAACAGTGAAACAGAAAGCCCCACTCTTAAAGAAGATCAAGAATTTAGCTTTGTTAGCCTTAAAACTGTCTGAATTTGTGTTTTTGAAACTGCTGCTTTAAGGTGAAAATGCTCAGCTATGGCACTGGCTGCTTATTTTGTTCATGATTGTAGCATATAAAAAAACACCATCTGGACATGCTAACAAAGCAAAAACTTGATTTTAACTGGAGCTAGCCGTGAATATTGAACTCAAAACTAGCCGAGCTGATTGGTGGCAGGTCAGTGGGCAAAGACGCAAATCTTACTGCTTCATTTGGATCTGCTCAGAGCCAAAGAGGCATTAATTTATGTTTAAATGCCCACTGAGGGGAAAAAAAGCAGGATTCTTTAAAGCACGGGTGTCCAATCCTGGTCCTCGAGAGCCCCTATCCAGCATGTTTCCCTTCTTCCAACACACCTGACTCTAATGATCAGCTCATCATCAAGCTCTGCAGAAGCCTGATAACGATCCTGATCATTTGAATCAGGTGTGTTGGAAGAGGGACACAAGCTGGATAGGGGCTCTCGAGGACCAGGATTGGACACCCCTGCTTTAAAGCTTCACGTGAAAACAGTAAATGTAGTAACTTCTCAGCAATGATGTTCAGAGGATAATTTTAGAAGTGCTATATCTGTAAGAAGGTCAAGATGATTAAACGTTTTCTCAGAAATTGAGAAAATGTGTAATTTAAAAGAAACCCAGGCTGGGATCCAGGTTAAAGGCAAGAGGTGACCCTTGCTCCATGTGACTGAAGGAAAGTATGACATTGACCCTTGTCATGGATGAACTTCTCTTGATGCTGATGTTGGAGCCTAAAACGGAAAGACACCGCTTCCTTTCGGGGTTTATTATTAGCAGATTTGGTCACTGGGTCGACCAAAAATAGCTTTGTTGTGGTCAGATCCACCCGTGACCTTTGAGCGCTGAGGAGGTGCGACGTGCAGAACGCTGCTCAGGAGAGATGATAGATCGGTTTATCATCGCTTCATGTCATCGCTGCGGCTTTCTTGTTTTGTTGTCGTTGTTGTTTTAAACCAGCATTGCTTTATAGATACTGTGAAAGTCTTATCAAAGAATTCGGCAGAAATTACCATAAACTGCAGGTTATGAGTAGGTGTCCAAGCCATGACGGAAAAGCTCGATTCATGGCAGCCTCATGACTAATTTTGCTCTTACTCCTTCGTTTCACCTATTCATTAACGGAAAAATAAACAGTCTTCTAAACATTGCTCGGTGTCTTTTATTGCTCTGCTCCTCTGCTAATTCGCACAAACCTGAGTGCTGCTGAGGTCACAGCTTCCATGTGTTGTGGTTTTGTGAAATGATTGAGCAACATCGCTCATTGACGTACGCGGCTCGATCTTGATGACTCGACTTCTGAAAACTCCTGATGTGTGTGTCGAGTCCGGCAACGCCTTGCGAAGGAGAAGGAATTCCAGATAATCAGCTGAACACCGCGAAGAGATGAACGACCGCAATCTATATACAGTAGGAAGAGAACTTAATGTAAAACACGTCACAGTCTGATGATCTGCTGCAATACTGAGAAACAACGGATGCTGGCTTAGTGTTGAGATTGCATCAGAGATTTGGTTTCAGTGGGTTGTTTAATGTGTCCAACACTGTGGGCAGGAAACGACAGTTGGATAGTAGTTTTGTACAAACATGCATGGTCCTCAGAGGATGACTTTGGACGTCCTCTGAGGTCACATAATAATATTTTGTGGATTGCCATGAAATTTGGTACATTAAGGGAGCATTTTTTCTTTGAAAAGATGAAAAGACGTTCAGAACGGATTCAAAAG